TCTAGAGCTAGACTAGGCTTGTTCAATTTTGGTGTTGAGGATTTTGGCACCTTAGAATTTTCGTGTTGAACATCTTCTTCTTGTACCTCATCACTATCATCATGAGTGACTTGCTGCTCCACCTGTTTGTCAACACTACCACTATCTGATACAACTATGGACTGAACATTAGAGTTAAACATAGAATTTTCATCAAAAACTACATTTCTACTAAGTATAACTCTATTCTCCAATGGAGACTAAATCCTATAACCTTTAACCCCATTCCCATAACCTATTTGGCCCTTGGCTCTAATTTACCTTCATTAACATGATAATAAACATTGCAACCAAAACCTCTCATATTTGAGTAGTCTGCAGGCTTACCAGACCACATCTCATAGGGTGTTTTGAGGTTAATTCTAGAGTGCGGTCCATGGTTGATCAGATAACATGTCGTAGTAACGGCTTCTGCCCAGAACTTTCTAGTCAATCCAACACTCGACAACATGCACTAAACTCTCTCCAAAAGTGTCTAATTCATTCGTTCTGCTACACCATTTTCCGTGGTGTATCTCTGATTGCACGGTGCCTAGCAATCCCCTTATTCTTGCAAAAATCATCGAACTCAGACCAAAAAACTTCTAGACCATTATCAGTTCGTAGCCATTTGATCTTCTTCCCAGTTTGATTCTCCACTAACACCTTCCACTGCTTGAAATTCTTGAAAGCTTCACCATTAAACTTCATTATAATCACCCAAGTCATCCTTGAAAAATCATCAATGAATGATACAAAGTAATTGTGACCTCCCAATGACTCAACACGTGAATGACCCCAACAATCGGAGTGGATATAATCAAGAGTACCTTTAGTTCTATGAACGCCTTTAGGGAACTTGCTATGATGTAATTTCCCAAAGACACAATGCTCACAAAAATCAAGGTTCATGACCTTGTGGCCACCTAGAAGATCTGCCTTGGAGAGAATTTGCATCCCTTTCTCACTCATATACCCAAGCCTCATGTGCCATAGCTTGGTCATATCATCCTTCTGAACCTCAGATGAAGCAACAGTAACAAAACCTGATAGAGTGGAGCCCTATAGAAAATACAAAGTACCACGCTTGACACCCTTTAGAACCACATCTGAACCATTGCAGACATTCAAAACTCCACCTTTACCCCTGAAACTGAACCCCTTATTGTCTAATACACTAAGTGAAATCAGATTCTTAGTCATTTGTGGAACATGTCTAACATCGTTCAATATGTGAAACGTAGCATCATATCTCCAAATCTTGATAGAGCCAATCCCAATTGCCTTGCACACTACACTATTAGCCATTGAAATATTTCCTCCATCTACCTGCTCATAGGTAGTAAACCACTCCTTAAGTGGACATATGTGATACGATGCCCCAGAATCGAGAACCCACACATTATTGTAATATGTATGTTCACTCGCAACTAAAGCAATGTCATACTCAGAATTCGAATCCTCTTCTGTTAAAGCAGCAGTTATAGATTTATCCTGCCGTTTCTTCTTGGAGCATTCTCTCTTCTAATGCCCCTTCTCCTTATAGTAATTACACACATTAATTGGCTTAGGACCCCCTTTGGAATTTCCGGGCTTCTTAGCCTTCTTCTTCCCGAAATTTTCATATCCCTTACCACCACTGGCCATTATTACTCCAGAGGCTTGATTAACTGTACCTGTACTACCATATGCCTTATGGCACAATTCCCTAGTATGAAGAGATGATCTAACCTCTTCTAGGGACACAATATCTTTACCAACAATGAATTATTGCACAAAGTTTTCATACGATAGAGGCAAAGAAACTAACAAAAGTAAAGCAGCATCCTCATTATCAACCTTAACATCAATATTACGCAAATCTAGAAAAATCGTATTTAATTGATCTAGGTGATCTCTAAGAGGTGTACCTTCATTCATTTGCAAACTGAAAAGACGTTGCTTCAATAGCAACTTGCTCATTAGAGACTTTGTCATGTACAAACTCTCCAATTTCAACCACAGACCCGATGTGGTATCCTCCTCCACGACTTCGGTAATGATATTGTCTGCAAGACACAACATGATCGTTGAATGTGCCTTCTCCTCCAGAATGGCCATCTCAGTGGTATCCGGAACCTGTGACTTCTTTGCCAATGGTGCCCATAACCCTTGTTGCTTCAGCAACGCCCGCATCTTGATCTGCCATAGGCTAAAACTATTCCTCCTAGTGAATTTATCAATTTTTACATTCATCTTAGACATCTCTCCCATTCAGATTTAACCTATGCTCTGATACCAATTTGTTGTAACGGATGTGAGAAAAAACAAATTAACGAATGCAAAATAAATAAATAACACATAGATTTACGTGGTTCACCAATAGTGTGTTGGCTACGTCCACGGGCAGGCGAGAGAAAAGCTTTATTGATCTTGAGGAAATTCTAGATTACATATTGATCATGAATATCATGGTGACTAGAATTAACCCTAAGTAGTATTTATAATTAGGGGTGTACAAATATCAACCCGGACCTGAAACCCGACCTGAACCGGATCGGTTAGGACCGAACCTGACTCGAACTTGTTGATTCAGGTCTAGTCCTGGTCCTCAAAATAGGGGATTCCGGGTTACCGGTCCGATCCAGGTTAAAACCGAAAATTTTCAGGTTTGACTCGAAAACCCAGTTTATTGTAATGTTTTTTTTTTTTTTTTTTTTTTTTTTTTTTAAATTTTTTTTTTCATAAACTTATACTTTTAAACCCTAGCACACATATTCCACAGTCGCCTCGTTCTCTGACTCCCTAACCTTTAAACTCTCTCTCTCTCACCTTCATAGTTACACTATCTTTCTCTCATGTCTAGGCTCCAGTTCAACTTCACACTCTCTTCGTCTCTTCAAATTAACCACCGTTGCTACTCTATGGACTATGAGTATGAGACCCAAAGGCAAATAGATCAAGGCTCCTCCACCGTCACTCTGACTCTTCGAGGCCGACAATCATTGTTTCATTCTTTTTCTTTTTCTCTGGTTCAATTTTGATGTTACCATGTTAGTACTCCATATTGTTTTATTAGCCGACATTTCCGTCATTTACTATTCCCTTTTGCAGTGAGTTAGGAATAAGATTCTATATTTTTCAGATTTTGTATTATATTTTCATTTTATATGCTATTAGATCTAATATGATGTATATGTTTTTAATTGTATTATGTATTTTTAGAGCTTATTATAGATTTATAGTACCCATGAACAAAGGCAATTGATTCAATTAATTAGTAATTAAAGAAAAAAATAAAACCTCAAAACAGGTCCATCGGGTCCAAAACCGGACCGGACCTGATTTTTCAGGTCTGGACCGAAATCGGACCGGTGGATTCAAGTCCAGTCTCCGGGCTTCAAAAAAATGTGATTCTTGTTCAGATCCAAACCGGTTTAGGTCCGGTCCGATCCGGCTTTGGACTGGTATACAACCCTATTTATAATACTCTCCTAAAATAAAAACTGATTTGGGTCAAAGCCCAAACAATAACCACACGACCGTGTACCTTGACCTACATGACTGTGTATATTGCACAGTCAAATGGCGCGCCCAGTTACTTGGTCGTGTACCATGAACTACACGACCATGTACCATGAACCATGGCCATGTGCCCCGTGTATATTGAAGAGTACATAACACAACTACACAATCGTGTACGATGGACTACACGACCGTGTACCAACTTGGTCACCGATTCAAGGCATATTTCTTACACCTTTGATTTTCTTCATGTAGATAAAATTCTTTATTGTAATAGCCAAGAGTTGTTCTAGATCATACAGTTAGCCATTTTTTCGATAATGATTTTCAATTTGATATTTTATACAGTTCATACATATTTCTAGTTAGACCGCATGAAGCTCAGCTTTTTCATGTTTATTCTTCAATTCTTTGGTATATTGATAAGTTATTTATAGTGTTGTTATTCAAGAATGTGTCTATTCAATTATTATCCAGGATTATATATAATATAGTGATTCATTATGAGCTTGTTACTTCATTATGTTATCCTGAGCTTTTTTTAATGAGTAAGTATATATGCTGATGTAATATTTTTCATTGATGCGTGTTACTTCTAATCCTTTTCACTGTCAGATTTTTGCCTTATGTGTGTGTTAGTGCAGAATTTTCATGACACGTCTATCAGAAGAGACATCAGGAAGAGGCGTCATCAGAAGCTGTAATCGACGTCCCGATGTTCAAGGGATAGTTGACCAGTTCAAAGGGCCCACTGTCCAGCTTATAGAAGAAGATAGTCAAGGAGTTCCGTTGATAAATATTCAAAGCAAAGAAGAACAAGTCATCTAATAGATTTCCAACTTTCAAGGAAGGGATAATGATCAAAGGCAAACGACTAGGTCTAGGGGGTATACTCGTTAGGTTAAAGGGAAACTTAGCCTATAAATAGAGGAGGGTTTAGCTTGTAAACACTCATTCTTACTGTTTTCCATAGCAATATCATTCTCATTGTAAACACTTGATTATTCACATAGTGCAATCGGTGGAATACTCCCACCTGCAGCTTTTTCCACCTTATTGGGTTTTCTGCTTCACCAAAGTATCGTTTGTCTCTCTTTATATTTATATTCATTTTATTTCTCAAATATTAATCATCTAGCCATCGACGTCCCAACCTAATATCGTTCCTTGACGATTTTTGGCATTAACAATTTGGCGTTCACCGTGGGGCCGACGACTAGATTTTTGTTCACAAATTCCAAGAACTCCGTCCTCTAGCCAATCGCTCGATATCCATGGGTTCTTCAAAAGGAAACATGACTCTAGAGCAGCTAATGTAGGAAGTTCGCAAGACTCAAGAGGAACTCGCGAAGTAGAAAGCTGAGAACGAGAATCTCGCTACTGAAAGACAAAAGACTGTGGATTCCCTGCGAAAGGAGCTAGAATCTGTTCGGAGAAAAACATTCGGTTGACGCCACAACACTCGAGACATCTCCACCATGATGGATCTGGATTCCGAGGATGGGTCAGTTGCTGACGACGATGAGGAAGATAATGCGGAGCACACCGATGAAGAGGACGACGAGGCCAATCCAACGGCTCAAAGGTTGAACCAAATCGAGGCCCATAATGCTAAGCTGCTCCGCCTGCTGAAAAGACTGCCAAGAGCGCCAGTCCAAACCGTGACGGAGGAGCCCGAAGGTTTTGCCGCGTCGCCGTTCGTGGATAAGATTGCAATGGCCGACATCCCCCGAAGGCTAAGCATCCCCCCTCCAGCAAAGCTTTATGATGGAAGCACCTGTCCGTTGGAGCATGTCACTCACTGCAAGCAGCGGATGTGGCAATATTCCATCCCCCGCAACCTGCTCGAGCCAGTCCTCTGCAAATCTTTTGGGCAACCCTAATTGGAACTGCTTTAGAATGGATGTGTGATATTAAAATAGGCTCCAAAACTAACTTCCAAACTTTGTGCAACAGGTTCTATTCGAAGTTCAACAATAGTTGCAAGGTCGAGAAGCAGACCAGCGATCTATATCGCGTCATGCAGCGGAATGGGGAAACAATCAAGTCCTACTTTGGTCGATTCAACAAAGAGATGATCGGGATCAAGAACTATGACGTCCGTATGGCCATAGAAGCCTTCAAAAGAGGACTGTTCTTAGAATCTAAGCTCTACAAAGAATTTACTAAGTATCTGTGCATAACATTTAAGGAAGTCCGAACATGGGCCTTGGCTCAGATACGTTTGGAAGAAGATCTTGCTACCAGAAAAGGTGTCAAAAGCAATGACGCGTCCAACAGCGAGAAAGTTGATAAGAGGACCCCCAATTCTAAAAAGAATTGGCGTCGAAAGCCTTACGACAGGCTCGATCAGGTAAATAACATCAATAACGTTGATGATACTGACCATGTGCAACCAGTTGTTAATGACAGGTCTGGAAAATCAGATGCCGACGCGTACCCCAAAATAGCAGAATATGGCTTCTGTGTCGACATCGGGGGCGCAGTAAATGCCCTTCATTCCCTAGGCGCCGTAGCAAGGTGGTCCGAGAAGAGTGACAAGCCATTGGAAAGCAAAGATCAATCCAAATGGTGTGATTATCACAGCGATCAAGGCCATCGCACCAAAGACTGCAACACCTTGAGACATGAAGTAGCGTTCCTCATAAATAAGGGACACCTGAAAGAGTTGATCGGGAAGGGCAAGATGTCAAACAAGGAAGCACTCGCTCAACAGCCCTCAAAGGGACCAAACGTCACTAAGGTAGTCAATGTAATCTCAGGTGGATCAGATATATATGGACTAACATATTCTGCAGCGAAGAAAATAGCAAGGACAGGTACACCCGAGGAGGCTACTCCCAAAGACGTCATATCCAGGAAAGACGTCATATTCAGGCAAGACAAAGCTCTCGAAGCCATGACGATCTCTTTCGATGACTGCGACCTTGGAGAGTATCGCGAAGAGCACCATGATGGGTTAGTCATCTATCTCACAATAGGCAATTTCCTGCTCAGATGAGTCTTGGTAGATGGAGGAAGCTCAGCCAACATCCTTTTCAAAGATACCCTAGAAGACATGGGCATAGATGCCAAAGACGTGGTCAGAAGGTCTACCGTATTGGTAGGATTCAGCGGAAAAGCACTCAACACCATAGGCAAAATTGTTTTACCAACTTTTGCAGGTGTGGTCAACCTCCAAACCAGGTTCAACATCGTGGATTTCCCGTCATCTTACAACGTAATCATCGGATGCCCGTGGATCCAAAAAATGAAGGCAGTCCCGTCCACCTATCATCAAATCATGAAGTTCCCAACCAAGTGGGGAGTCCAAGAAATTAAAGGAGAGCAAAAGCAAGCCAGGATCTGCTACAGCTTAACATTGAAGCCATAAAAAAGGACGATGTAGCAATTACAGCATGGACCAGCGTCGGACGAGCCAGATGAGCAACATATTGATGAAATAGTGCTGGATCCCACCAAGCCTGAACAGATCGTCCGAATTGGAGCTTCCCTAAACCCAGGTATAAGAAAAGAACTCATTTCATTTCTTAAAGCTAACGCCGATTGTTTTGCTTGGACACATGAGGACATGACATGTATAAGCCCCGAGCTCATCACCCACAAATTGAATGTCGATCCGAACCACCGTCCGATCAAGCAAAAAGAAGGAAGTTTGCGCCAGAAAGGAACCAGATCATAAATGATGAAGTAAAAAAGTCGATAGAAACAGGAAAAATCAAGGAAATGAAATACTTTGACTGGGTAGCAAACGTGGTCGTCGTCAGTAAAAAGAATGGCAAGTGGAGGGTCTGTATCGACTTCACTTACCTAAACAAGGCCCCAAAGACCCTTTTCCGTTGCCTCATATAGACGCGATGGTTGACGCCACAGCAGGACATGAGTTACTAACATTCATGGACGCCTACTTAGGATACAATCAAATACTGATGCACCCGGAAGATCAAGAAAAGATCGCGTTCATGACGGACAAAGGGATATATTGTTACAAGGTTAAGCCCTTCGGGGCTCAAAAACGCAGGTGCAACCACTACTAGAAAACAGTCGATCAACGACGGAAAAAATCCGTCGGAAAACCTTGAAATTCCGTCGGAAATGCCCTTTTCCAACGGAACGCATCGTCGGAATACACTTTGTAGGAATTTCGCGATATTCACGGATTATGTTCTGTTGGCGCTTTTGTTGACTTTAAGTGAAAATCCGTCGCAAGGTTCCGACGAAAATTTCCGTCGTAGTAAGATAAATTCCGATGGAAATTTCCGTCAGTGGGGGAGACGTTCCGACGAAATTTTCCGTTGGAAAAGGTATATTCCGACGGAAAATTCCGTCGGAAAAGGTATATTCCAACGGAAAATTCCGTCGGAAAAATAAATAATAAAAAAAAACGGCACCACAGTCCCCACCCAGATCCACCCCGCCACCAGCCCACACCACCCACCACGTCCCCAACCCAAACCCAGACACCCCACCCCACCTAGACCCAGACATCCACCCCACCCAGACCCAGACACCCCACCCCACCAAACCCAATCCAGAACCACCAAATAACCCACCAAACCTCCCCCACGCCACCCACACCACCATAACCCCACCCCATAACCACTGACACCACCAGAACAACCCACCCCACCACCACCGACACCACCACACCACCACCATTAACCCTAAAAACCGGAAAAAAACCCCAAAAAATTCAAAAAACCAAAATTAAACAAGGAAAATTAATAGAAATGTATAAATATATAATTGTCTAATAAATTTTATAAATTAACATTACAATTACATATATAATTAACTAGATCTAAACATTTATTCAAAAAAAAAAACTAGATCTAAACACAAACCTAAATTACAAGATCTACAATTGATGTTTAGGTTGTTGTTGATGAAACCAAGTCAAGCCTCGTTTCGAGGCCGAACCTCAGTCGTTCCCGGAAAATTCGTTGGAAAACTGGAGCCGTGAGTGAGGGAAGCCATTTATGGGTTGTCGTTGCTGCTAGGGCTCACACCACCAGCAGAGGCGGACACCTCACACCACCAGCGAGAAGCCGCGAAACGCCGCATCAAAAGGAGGAACGAGAAACCGAGAAAGGGAAGGACCGAATGAGCAGTTTGAGAAGAGAGAGAAAGAGAATCTAGGATTGTAATGAAGAAGAGGAGAGAAGGAGGAGATCGAAAAGATAGAGAAGGAGAATGAGAGGAGAGAGAAAGAGAAGAAGAGAGGAGAGAGAAAAAGAAGAAGAGGGGCGGGGAGAGAGAAGAGGTGAGGAAAGAGAAATGAATAGGGATGGGGGAGGGGTCCGTATATTTAGGAGTTTAGGGTTTTATTATTATTTTTATTTTTTTTATAAACAACAAAATTCCGTCGGAAAAGGGTTAAATTCCGTCGGAAATTTCCGATGGAATTAATTTCCCTCGGAATTTAAAGCTTCCAATGAAAATTTCCGTCAGAAGCAGTAAATTCCGAGGGAAAAAAATCCGTCAGAATATTTTCGAGGGATTTTCCGTCGCAAACCTATCTTTTCCAACGGACTGTTCTGACAGACCCAAATTCCGTCGGAAAACGGCCTATTTTTAGTAGTGGGAATAATATAAATAATCAATGCCTTGCAACTACTTTGAAATGTATGATGACATGATGTATTATAATTCAAAAATGATGCAACTATTGAAAGTACAGAGGTAGCATAGTTAGCTAGTACTCCCCCCGTTTTTAAATACTTGCTCCATTTCTCCATGCGCGGAGTTTTAGGAGAAATTGGATAAACAATAAAATATGGAGGTAGTGGGGTAGGTGGAAGAATAAAAAACTGTAAAAAAAAAAGTAGTTGAGAGAATTGGAGGAGAGAGAATATAAAATTAATAAAATATGATTTATGTTGGGTCCACTAGTTGAGGGAAATGAATTATTTATTATAAAAGCTTTCCAAATAAGAAAATGGAGCATGTATTTAAAAATTGACGAAAATGGAAAGTGGAGCAAGTATTTAAAAACGGAGGGAGTAATAAACCTTTTGATGTATAAATTTGACAGAATGACAGGAAATTAAAGTCCTGGAAGAGGATGATGAGATTGCAGATTATATCGACAGTCGCAAGCAAGAGTTTGAAAATCTATCTCCCTTGAAACTCCATGAAATCATTCTTCCACCCTTTTTACTTCCTCGGTATTATGGCAAGTCATGGATAAACTTGGTGTAACTTGAGATACTTTTCCAGTATAAAGAAGGTATTTCCTCCTACCATATTTAGATCTAATGCTCACATGCAACTGGTGCCTGTAATACCTATCTCTTGATTTTTTGGTGCGTCTCTTCTGTACAAAAAGAATGGCAGCTCCGAGTATGCCAAAAACTGCTGCTGTAACCGAAGTCCACCAGGAAACTGCGCATGTAAGCTTTGCATTCATCAGGATCGAAACGAGTAACATGAGTCCCCATTTTGCAGAATTTGGTTTAGTCATCTCTCTTGCCTACAAAATATAAAACTTCTTAATTTACTGGTTTTATGTGAAAGTTGTGCATTCATCGGAATTTGCTTGTGCAATATGAAGTGGCCTTTGTGGCTGTTACACTTTGAGAATACATGTATAGTATAATGCTTCTATTCTTGATGTATGAAGAGATTTTAATAACAATGACTGTGCGTAAATCCATCCTATAACACCCCTTCAATATACTTTGCACTCATAAATATAAAAAATGAAAGTGTAACTTTTATCTCTATTACTCTCTATATTCAATTTTACCATAAGGACAATCTGCTGTTGCAATTTATGCTAGAGTAGTTTTTTAGAATAACAATGAACAGACATACATAACTAGGGTGCTACACTTACAAAAAATGAATGTTACTGCGTGCTACAGTTTATTCTTCTCATCTTATTTTTGCATTATCGGTCTCCACTAACATAGCACAGAAATTAATTGCATGCATATCAACATCTTATGATTCATCGTTGTGAAATGACAATTTTTCTGTTAATATGTATGAATCATCACTTATGTATCAGGGAACAAATCAAGATCTGTATCGATGGTTGAAATGATTTAATTACCAACATCAGGATGGTATCCCTATGCAAGATCATGTCTCATATATTTTTACAAGTTCTCTTAGTGGTGTGTTTGGATAAAGAAAGGGGAAGGAAAAGAAGGGGAGGGAAGGGAAGAATGATGAGTTTTCCTTCCAATTCTCTCCATTGTTGGAGAGATCAATTTCTTCAATTTAATCCCTCCAATTCTCTTTTTCCCTCATTTGTTATCCAAATGAAAGAAAATTCATCCATCCATTTCCTTTCCGTTCCTTTCCCCCCGTTTCCTTCAATCAAAATGAAATGTTAGTGGACAAATTCCCCAACAGCCACACAATCCATAGTTTTACAGCTCAATAATTTGGTAGTTGATTTGAGCCATGCCGGCACGGTTGGCAAAAAAATGTAACACCATCATCCCACATGCACGCGCTCGCGCGCGCGCATACACACTGTTAATGCCAAAAATCGTCAAGGAATGACGTTAAGCTGGGACGTTGACAGTTAGATGATTAATATTCGAGAAATAAAATGAATATAAAGATAAAGAGAGACAAACGATATTTTGGTGACGCAGAAAATCCAATAAGGTGGGAAAAACTGTGGGTGGGAGTATTCCACCGATTGCACTATGTGAATAATCAAGTGTTTACAATGAGAATGCTAAACAGTGAGTAAGAGTGAGTGTTCATAAGCTAAACCCTCCTCTATTTATAGGCTAAGCTTCCCTTTAACCTAACGAGTATACCCCTAGAGATAGCCATTTGCCTTTGATCATTATCCCTTCCTTGAAAGTCAGAAATCAATTAGATGACTTGTTCTTCTTTGCTTTGAATATTTATCAATGGAACTCCTTGACTATCTTCTTCTATAAGCTGGATAGTGGGCCCTTTAAACTGGTCAACTATCCCTTGAACATCGGGACGTCGGTTATAGCTTCTAATAACGCCTCTTCTTGATGTCGCTTCTGATAGACGCGTCATGAAAATTCTGCACTAACAGTTTGCCCCTGACTGTTGCTTTGGATTCCTCAAGATTCGAAGGAACAATCTAATGATGCCACCTCAGTGCACTTATTCCTAAATTTTCTGACTGTTACCCCAACTTATCCAAACTCTTCAACTTCCACGTTGCTCACGTATCCCCATTACCATTTGCCAAACTTAACTTCCAACTACTCTCTATAAATGCTTTAGGATTGAAAAATTAATCCCTAAAATTCACTTTGAGAAATTTTAAAATTCGAAATTAGAGAATTCTAGTGTTGATTGAGATTTTCCGGCCAATCTTCCGCTTTTTGCTTCTTTAATAGGTAATTCTTTTTAACTTAATTTCTCTTCATTTTCATTTTTTCGGTTTTTGATGAAAGGGGGTAGTTCTAGATCTAGGTTTTCACTTAGAATATTGGAGAAAACTAGGGATTTACCTGGTCAAACTATGGCGACCTTCGAGAACCCAGCAAGTACTGTTACCGAAGGCGAACTTCCGTCCTTCGTTTCCATGGCAGGCTTCCATGAGAGCGCTATCGTGGTGATTCCGAGTGAGAAGGATCGCCCTCAGAATTGCCCTAATGGCCACATTGTGTTCTACGAATACTCTTTCAAACTTGGGTTTAATTTTCATTTCAATGCTATGACGCGCTCTTTTATAGAGGTGCTTGACTTGAGTCCACGGCAGGTGATGCCCCTGGTTTGGAGGGTCACCCAAGTGATTGAAAATCTCATTGAAGGCTGGGCGGATCCCTTCAATCTTTCTGATCTTGTTCACGTCTACAAAATCCATGTAGAAGCTTTCAATAGATGCACCCTTCATGTGCAACGCGGCCGTTCAGCTTTGGTTGGGAAGGTGAATGCTAACGATCGTGGCTGGAAGACGCGGTAAGTCTTTGTGGATAAGGAGACTCTAGGGGAAGACGCCAAATGGATAAGGACTGGATGGCGCGGCGAAGGTATCTTACATATACTATTTCATTTCTTATGGCATTTGTTGTTGACTCTTTTCTTATGTGCTTCGTTTTGCAGAGATCGACGTCGGTACCGTTGTAGTTAGAGACAAAAGTGCTAGTAAGGTGAAGGATTTTCTGAAGTATCCTTTGGAAGACAGGATGTTTCCTTGCGCCGTTGTTGAAGATCCTGATCCAATAGACACTGGTTCGGAGGAGGAAATGAAGGTTTTAGATGACACTCTTGACATGGCTTCTGGTAATGTCTTTCTTCTTTTTATTTTCGTGTTGGTACTTCCCATTTTTCGTAGATTATGACTTTTTAGCCATTAGATGTTGCGCATTCTTCTAAGACTAAGGTTTGCTCTATGTCTATGGCGGAAATGATAGAGATGGCTTCTAAGAAGAGGAAACAAGCACCTGTCGTTTTTCTTGCCCCTGCTGCTGAGAATAAGCCTGCTAAGACCAAACCCTTAGACTCCAAGGTTGATGATAAGAAACCGGCAGAGAAAAAGGCTTCGCACGTTCGTTCCTCGTCCAATGTCAAGGAGAAGCAAGTGAAGGAGGAGGAATACGAGCTGAGAATTCCTGCTAGCTTCTTGTCTGGGGAACCTAATGTTGCGCCTTTGTGAAACGCCTAAGTCAGCTTAAGCCGCCAGTGATCGTTGGGAAGGCGATCAACCTTCAATTAAATGTAGGGACGTTTGTTCGTCATTTGCTTTCTTTCTTTGGACTTGTACTTACTGATATTGTGTGAATATTTTTTGTGGTTTTTATAGGCCTTTCAGGATTTTTTGGTGATGGGGTCATTTCATTTTAAATGAGAAGGAGCTTCCAAGTACCAAATCTGCACTGTCCACTGCTAGAGGGGAGGTTTGTACTTATCACGAGGAATTGGCCAAGGCTAAACACTCATTGGATGCTGCACAGAAGGTTCTTGAAGAGAAAAACAAAAACATTGCTGATTTAAACAAGAACGTTGCTGATTTAAACAAGAACGTTGCTGATTTAAACAAGAATATTGCTGACCTGACCAAGAACGCGTCTAAGTTGGAGGCGTAATTGGTTGACGTCCAAGAGGACGCGAAGAATTCTAAGTGCCTGGAACAGTTAACTAGATAAGCTAAAGTGTTGAAACGTTTCTTGGTTGGTCGTTTGACAAGGGAGGAGGTGCAGCAGGAAGTGAACATCTTTCTTCAATCTGTGGGAATTGCAGCTGACATTGAATCTAACACTGAGTTTGACGCCGAAGAAGGCAAGTCTATAGCTGACTCAGCTCCTGTTGATGCCAATGGTGCGTCCAACGTCAATGTTGATGTTGAGGAGCCTGTTCAAAACGTCGAGGAACCTGCTTAGATGCCTGACTTTTTGTGTCCTTGTCTTTTGATGTATTAGTTGACTGCTGCCTCTTGAGGCTTTGAACTTAAAGTTTCTTTTTCTTTTGAACTTTATTTCTTTTGGTGGACGCCTCTTTTATAGGCAGTTTGTAATTAGTACTTTTATCCTCGTAATTTCCTGTTTCATTTTGTTAGCAGAACAATGGCTATATGCACAAAGTAATTTTTATTTCTATTGCGCTCATTAATGTGTTGAGCCAAACGGGCGAATTACATTGGATAAAAAATTTGAAAAAGAACTTAGAAAAATTTCCAAGTTTTTACAAGTCATGTATTGAAAAAAAAAACTTATGATGCCTGTCTGGCGTTTTCATGTCTCGTTGCGTTCATTGTGATGCCTATCTGCCCCAACGTCTGACGGTGGACGTCAATATCTTAAGAGTCTGGCATTCATCATTGGACACGTGTCTTGCAGAATTTACTAGGGTCGCGTCGAACGTGCTGCTGGGACGCGTTCTGAACTAGCGTCAAGGCAATCCTACAAAAGAAGCGTTAGACTTGGCCGTTGTCATTTTCGCTTACGACCCTCTGATGCTAAAGTCATTATTCGTAGTGAAAATAAAAACTTAATGAAAAAACATAACTTGAACCAAAGGAGATGCTTTAAGAGGACGACGAACTTGCGTACCTTAACAGATGTTAAAAATAATAAGATTTTAAATGCGTTGTGTTCCAACTTATTGGAGAGATCTTACCATCTTAGGACATGAGTCTATAAGCTCCTTAACCAGATACGCTGATGATTTGGTATGGTCCTTCCCATGTTGGCCCTAGTTTTCCATCTATGGGATTTCTGGTGTTTTGGAATACCTTCCTTAGTACCCAGTTGCCAATTTAGAATACTTTAGCTTTTACTTTTTTGTTGAAGCATCTGTCCACTATCTGTTGTTGTGCCGCCAGTCTTATGCACGTTGTTTCTCTTAATTCTTAACTTTTGTCCAGGTTGGTGGTCATTTCTTCATCATTTTGCTCTTGAGTCATAAGGCTGTATCTCACTGTTGGGATGCGGACCTCTGACGGGAGTACTGCCTCACATCCATACACCAAAGAGAAGGGCGTCTGTCTTGTGGATGTTCTTGGGGTTGATTATTTGCCCAAAGGACGGAGGGTAACTCTTCTGCCCATTCTCCTTTGGCGCATTTCAACCTTTTCTTTAGTGACGCTATTATGGTTTTGTTGCTTGATTTTGCCTGTCCATTCGCCAGAGGGTACCTTGGCGTTGACGTGCATAGTCTAATGTTCCATTTGTCGCTGAAGCTTTGGGTTTTGTCACTGATGAATTGCAATCCATTTTCGTAGACAATTTCGGATGGGATTCCGAACCTACAAATGATGTTACACCAAATAAAAGATATGACTTCTTTGTCACGTACCTAAGTGAACAAATCAACTTCGATCCATTTGGAAAAATATTCAGTCATGGCCAGCATGAAGACTTTCTGTCCTAGAGCTTGGGGTAATTTGCCTACTATGTCCATGCCCCACTTCATGAATGACCACGGGCACAACGATGGATGCAACATTTCTAGTAGTTGAAGCGATAACCCGGCGTGACGTTGGTAGCTGCAGTGGCGGATCCAAGATTTCCGAGATAGTGTGTCACCATCAATTATTGATCATTTGTGAAAGTACAAATTTTTTTTTCCATGTCTTGTTCATAATTAATTTCAATCCAAAAATTATATATATATATATATATATATATATATATATATATATATATATATATCACCAAATTGATTTCAATCCAAAAATAGGACACAAAAATACATACCACAACCAAATACAGTACTTAAGAATTCAATTTTACAAGTCGAAAATACTACAAATAACATGTTATAAACAAATGGTACAATAAAATTATTATATTGAATTAACTTTATGATTTTTTAGTTAATTGATAAGCTTTATGGGGAAATATTAAAATCGGTTGTACAAATATAAGATATAAAAAGGGAAAAAAAATTATTAAAAAATTATACAAAAAAAAGTGAGATAACTTAAGAGACCAGTTATTAAATATAACTGGTCTCTTTAATGAAAAAAGAAAGTAGCGCAAAAAAATTGCGAAATGTAATAGCAGCATCAAAGAGACCTCTTATATAAATAACAGGTCTCTTTAATATTTAAGTAGCAATAGCAGCATTAAAGAGATCGCCTACCTTATTAAGAGGTCTCTTTGATGTTGTTTGTTGTTACCAATAGCAGCATCAAAGAGACCGCCTATCTATAATAAGGGGTCTCTTTGATATTTTATTTAAAAAAAAAAAATACTGTGTCACCGGACCCACTATGACTAAAGGTGGGTCCGCCCCTGGGTAGCTGTCGCACTTTGCCACGTATTCTTCTGCATATTTCCTCAACGTCGGCCAGTAGTAGCCTATTCTTAGTAGCTTAGTTGTTAAGCCTCTTGCTCTAGCATGGCTACCGCATTCTCCATCGTGGTGTTCTTGTAGCGTGGTCCAACATTCGTCGCCCACGAGACATCTTTGCAACAGACCTGTTGAAGACACTTTGAAAAAAACGTTATGTAAAATAGTATATCGTGAGGCCTTATACCTCATTCTTCTTGCTTCGAGGGGGTTATCCGGAAGGACGTTATCTCTTAAGTATTTCACGATAGGCGTCATCCAGTTGTCTTCTGTTGTAATTTCCATGACGTCGGGCACCTAGGGAACGTCTATCGATGGTATCGTCAAGTGAACGAGAGGTATGCTTGTGAACGGCGACTTTCTGAGTGCTGAACCAATGTTGGCTAATGCATCGGCCTGAGTATTTTTATCTCTGGGGATATGCTTGATTGAGAAAGGATTGAATGTCTTTGCAATGATTTTCGCTCTCTCCAAGTATGCCATCATTTTGGAATCTTTAGCGGCAAATTCTCCGTTTAATTGGCTGGCGATTAGTAATGAGTCACTGAAAACGTTTAGTTCTATTACTTTCAGATCTTGAGTTGCCATCATCCTTACGATTAGTGCCTCGTACTCAGCTTCATTGTTGGTTGCTTTGAAGTCACAACTGATGGATTGCACTATTAGCTCCCCTTGTGGAAATTTTAGCATAACTCCTAATCCAGCGCCACGCTGGTTGGATGATCCGTCACTGAACATTGTCTAGATGATTGCCGATTGATTTCTTCCAGCTCCTTGTTTGCAAATGGCTCCAATTCTAGGCTGAAATATGCCACAAAATCGGAAAGCACTTGGGATTTGATCACCGTCCTAGGTTGGAAGGTGATGTCGTGTGTATTGAGGGCTATGCTCCACTTAGCCATCCTTCCCGTCAATTATGGCCTACGTAACACAGACTTAATGGGGAATTTAGTTCTCACCACCAGTAGGTGAGATTTAAAATAGTGACGTAATTTTTTAACAGCAGTGATTAATGCAAGTATGAGTTTTTTTATGGAAGATTACTTGGTCTCTGCGTCAAGCAGAGACTTACTAACGTAGTATACGGGCAGCCGTTGCCCTTGGTCTTCTCTTGCCAGGACGACACTTACTGACATTGTACTGACTACCAGGTATAAGTCTAGTGTTTCATGTTCCTTAGGCTTCGACAGTAGTGGGGGTATCATTAGATACGTCTTTAAGTCTTGAAAAGCTTTTTCATGCTGCTCGGTCCATTCGAATCCCTTGTTTTTCTTTAGGACGTCGTAGAACAAGAGGCACTTGTCTGATGACTTGGATATGAAACGCTTCAATGCTGCGATGCGTCCTGTGAGTTTCTACGCCTTTTTGACGTTTCTTGGGGACTAAATATTGATCACAGCTTTGATTTGGTCTGGGCTAGCCTCTATTCCTCGTTGTGTCACGATGTATGCTAATAATTTACCTGCAGACACTCTAAAGGAACACTTAGTAGGGTTGAGTTTCACACTGTATTGACACAGGACGTCGAAGGATTGCTTCAGGTGTGTAATGTGATCGGCTGCTTTTTTGGATTTGACGAGCATGTCGTCTATGCAAACTTCCATGGTGTCTCCTAGCGGGTTTTTAAACATTTTGTTAACAAGTATTTGATACGTTGATCCCATACTAACTGCTAATAACTGTTATGCCTAAATTATCACTACTGGTTCCTATGTCTCACTACAAGAAATAGGCGGATTTCCGACGGACAAGAAAATCCGTCGTAAATCGAATATTTCCGATGGAATAAAATTCTGTCAAAATTTTTTATTTCGTAGGAAATTTCCGACGGATTTCAAACAGTTTTGACGAGCAGAGTATAAATAGCTAACCCTAGCAGCCCCCTCTCATTTCAGTTCCCCTTTCTATCTTTTCTCTTTCCCTTCCATCGCCGCACTCCCTCTCTCTCTCTCTCCATCTATCTTCTCTCTTTATCTCTCCTCTCTCGCTACTCCTCTCTTCTCTCACCTTCCCCTCTTCTGTAAAAAATAAAAAAAATCAATTCTGACCAAGCTAACCCATAAAGCATCCCTGTGTTATTTTCCAGCCAAGCTCCCGACGTTTTTTTTTATATATATATATATATGTATATATGTATATATATATATATATATATATATGTATATATATATATATATATATATATATATATATATCTAATTTATGGTTTTAAGGTCAAGTTCGACCATGAAAACTCTAGATCTAGCGTTTTCATGATCGAATTTGGCCTTATATAACCAAACTCAAGACTAAATTCGGTGGATTGTGTTCGAATTGTTGTGGTAAGTGTAGTAGATCTACAATTTTTATATCTTTTGTTTTCAGTTTTTTGTTTCGATTTTTCATCTTTTGTTTTCAGTTTTTTTTTTTAATTTTTTTTTTTCGGGTTTCTGGTGTAGTAGATCGAATAAAGTTGTTCTTGTTTTCGAATATGTGGTATATGTAGTAGATCGTGGGTTTGGGTGGGTTCGGTTAGGGGATTGATTAGGGTGGTGGGTGATTTTGGGTGTGGGTTTGGTTAGGGGCTCGATTAGGTTGGTGGGTGGTTTAGGTGGGTGGGTTTGAGTGTGGGTTCGGTTATGGGGTAAAAAGGGTAAGTTTAAGTGGGTCGGTTACGGTAAATCTGGGTTTGTGTGTGGGTTAGGTGAAGTGGGGTGGTGATTTCGGTTAGGGTGAAGTGGTGGGAGCTGGTGGTGTGGGGTAGGGCTGGTGTGGTGGTGGCCCGTTTTTTTTTAGCAGCATTTTTCGACGAAAATTTCGGCAGAAATCTC